CGCCGCCGCCTCCGACCACCGCCGCCGCCGACCAAGCGCCCTCCGACCACCGCCTCCGCCGGACAAGTTTGCTCCGACCACCGCCGGCCAAGTTTGCTCCGACAAGGTAAATGTGTTTTTTTTTTTTTTTTTGATTAGCCATGAAATTTCGGATTTGGGAATGGATTTGGGTTGGGATTTAGGAATTATGGTTGAAATCACTGTATTTAGTTTGGGAATGTAGTTGAGATTTGGGATTTGGGATTTGGGTTTGGATTTGGGATTTGGGAACTTACTGCAGGTTAGGCTTGGGTAAATCAATGTATTTAGTTTGGGAATGTAGTTGAGATTTGGGATTAAGGTTGAAATTTGGGAATGTATTTGAGATTAGGGTTTAACCATAATTAGGGTTTAGACATGAATAATGTGATTTGGGATTAGGGAATTTAGCAATTATTTGCTTTGTAGTTTAGATTAGAGTTTTAAATTTGACTTTAAGAGGATATGTGCCTCGGGGTATAGATGAGAGAGAATTAGTAAGTATTTTTAAATTTATTTTAAGTTTATTTTTATTAGAATTTTTCAATATTGCTAAATTATGTTTTTTTAAAAATTTGCAGGTATCAGCAATAGTTGATGTTCAAACCATTGCAAATAGTGGCTTGGAATTGGCTCATGCAGGTAATATAGAATTAAATATAAAATTTACATATTGTAATTTGAATTTTAAAGTAATTTTTGCATTTCGGATTTTTTTGAATTATCTCTCGCAGGTACATATCCCGAAGCACAGAAACATGCATCAATATATCAGTCGATAATGCAGAGGCTTCACCAAGCCTTACATCGAACTCATGAAGACCTTCATGATGGACGAGAAGTACCTCAATTAGTATACACACGTCAACAACGACACAGACGAGGACGACGCAGAAACGACAATGAAGCTGGGCCTTCCCAACGTGTTGACGATGGAGCTGGACCGTCACAACCACAAACGCAACCGGATCATGAACTCATCGAAGGTCGGGATAGAGGAGGCCGAAGACAAAGGAGGAGGAGAAGAGTTCTTGGATGTATGTAAGCTAATTGGTATTGTTATATAAATTACAATCCTATTTTGATATGTACATTACAAACGTATTTCGGGACAATAGATGGTTTTTGGATTTGTAGCTGAGATTGTGGTGTGACTTATTAGATTTGTAAGTGGGTTTGTGGCGTGATTTGTTGGATTTGGATTCGTAAGTTTGTGGCGTGATTTGTTGGATTTGGATTCGTACGTTTGTGGTGTATTTTATGATTTTTAGATTTGATATGTGTTTATACAGGGAATTGACATGAGTTTGTACAGGGAATTGATATATGTGTTTATGCAATGGTGTAATTTATGATTGTTGCGTTTGAAATATGCGTTTGTACAGGGAATTATCCCGTAGCAGAAATACATGCATAGTGAATGTGCAGGAAATGCACGGGACTGCTAGTCCCGTGCATTTCATTGCGCCCAGGAATTGCACGGGACTAGCAGTCCCGTGCTATTGTTTTTTGCAGAGACAGCAGGCTCTGTAAAATGCACGGGACTGTTAGTCCCGTGCATTTCTTTTTTGCAGACCTTCGTTAGTCTCTGTAATAAACACGGGACTGCTAGTCCCGTGTTATTCGAAATTGCCACGAAATACACGGGACTAGCAGTCCCGTGTATGTCGTAAAAAATCTTCCGCAGCAAAACCGACCCTTTTCTTCTGAAAAGGGTCGGTTTTGCTATTTAAATTTCGATAAGGTCGGTTTTGCTATTTAAAATTCGAAATCGGTTCATTTTGAAAATTTGTCCTATTTTTAAATATATCTTATATACGGTACGTATTAGAGGAACACACAGACTCCATACATGGTTGCTCCTAATGAAGGACTTTATCTTATATACGGTACGTATTAGAGGAACACACAGACTCCATACATGGTTGCTCCTAATGAAGGACTTCAATTTTACAGTTTTCAAGGAGGGAAGGACGTATATAAAGACCCATGATTAATCATATTGTAATTGTATGTCGATGGTATAATGAAGAACTATCCATATTCTGCCACTACATAAATAATCTTTAGGTCAAATAAGAAAAAAGGGATTGCATTAATAAAGTTTTTCTTTTTTAAATACCAAAACAATTTTTTTGGGGACGATTTCAAAGTACTAACTTGGGGACAAAGAAACCGAGGACCCAAAAGCCAGAATGAGCCTTATCCGCACCAGCGGTGACCCGATTCATCCTCCCAGTTTGCTCTCCCTCGTCTCAACGCATCGGGTGCTCCGCTGGAGAACGAGAAGCAAACGTCGACGCCTCGGATCCCTTCTGCCGCTTAAGCGACACGTTACCTCGCTGCTAAACCGCACCGTCCATTCTAATACGACAAAAGACAAAACTCGCTCTCGTTTAAAGAATCGTTTAACTACAATGTTCCTAGATAACAAGTTATCTCGGTCCTCGCCCTGTTTTACCGCTCGTGAAAACCCTTTTGACGTCCTGAGCACGACAAAGAGATCTCCTCCCTTTCCTAATCTTTTTAAATAAAGTCCTCCTTAATTTAACCTCTGCCTTTTTAATTCTAATAATCTAATCCCAAACCAGGGGGTTAAAATGTAAAAAGCGCAAGATTATATATAGAACTCCGAGGTAAAGAACACCAAGACGTAATCGTAGACAGAGAAGAGTGTCATCATTTCATTATCTGATCACAAGCGATCCTTTCTTCTACCTCTCTCTTTCTCTCTCTAGAAGAAGAACGAGGGGAAAAAACCTAAAAATTTGCTCCGAGTTCTTTAGATTTCGTTAGTTTCTGGCTCGATTGTTTGGGATTTGATCGGAGATGGCGGATGTCGACACTTGACTCTGAATCGGGGCTGTTTCTTGTTGATTCTACAGAGCAAAAGAAACAGCCTGAGGTTATGATTGTGAGATTTTGTGATATTGGGAGATCTCAAGGGTTTGGTCTCGATTGCTTGGTTGGCGCTGTTGGTGATCGTTTGGGATGAGGAATGAGGGGCAGAGGCCTCAAGGATCCGGACGAAACAATGGATTCATGAGGAGCTTCTCGAGCTACTTGAGGATTGTCTCTAATGGTGCTTCGAATGTGGCGTCGACTGTGAAATCTGCGGGGGTTTCGGTCGCTTCGTCCTTAGCTGATCGCGATGAGGATGCTGCTCGTGATCAGGTATTAGATGAATATTCATTTAATTTAGTGTTCTGTTTTGATGTTTGATGAATGTTGGTTCTAAAAGTAGAAACTTGATATTTTGGTTGCGTGAGAAAAGTTGGAATTTTCCCGCGACCATAGGTGTGATGTTACCGTGGAAAAGGTTTGACTTTTGGGAAGTTTGGTGGATGATTGATCGTGTTTTGAGATTGTAAGGGACCCAATTTCAAGGTGTCAAAGGGAACTAGTGAGCTAGAATTGCTGTTTATAGACAAGAACGTTAATGTCTGATTGAGGTTCTAACTTGGGGAAACGCTTTAATTTGTGGCAGCTTGAGTGTTGTGGCAGTTTCTTTGTTGGGAAGATCTCTTATTTTGGAAGTATCAGTCTTGTGATGGTGTTGACTTTAGGATGATGGTAATAATCTGGACATAGATTCACTATTTGTCGGTTAGGATGATTATGTACTGGGAGAAGCATTGTTTGTACTCGAGAGCAAATGATGCTATGTTTAGAAGGATCTCTTAAATTCAGTAAATTGTAGCTGATTATTCTGTGGGAAAGCTGTTGTTCTTATGATGACTGCAAATCATAAAGTTGGACATTGTGATTGGATCATTAGGGAAATTTCTCCTTTGGATGAAGGATGTCAGCTTTTCTGTTTGTCAATTGGAATGGTAATGCATTATTGGATCATTAGGAAAAAGGGAGTCAGATTTTCTCCTTGTCGATTAGAGCGGTAATGCATTGTCGGATTTCTTTTTTGGAAAAGCGTTATTTGTCGTGGCTCATGTTTGCCATTATGCCAAGTTTGGACGGATTAATGAAAGATGTTCTTTTGTTGATACACTTCAGGGCAGCTGAATCTGTTAATACAGTTATCATTCTCGGTGTGCCAGCTATTGTTCTCTTTTGAACTATGGATGCTATTTTGATTTTATGCAAGAAAAAGCTGTTATGGATTTTGCCACAGTTGATTTTGTGTGGCAAATATGTGGGTGGCAAATATGTGGGCTTTTGGGGCATTATTTATGATTGAGTATCATTATGTTTTGATATTATTTTCTGGATATGTTTTATTTAAGGAATAGGAGAGAGTTGGATGTGCTCCTTTCTGATGAGAAATATAACTACCGTTGTGTAGGATATTGGTTGTACCTGATTGAGCGTTTACTAATTTTTAGAGGCATTGACAGTGTAGAAAATGTATAAAATTTCGAATGGATTTGAGGTCGTAACATAAAAACGTTATTTTTTAGTAGTTGAAGTTGAGGTTCTTCCCTTATAAATTTGTACTTGTTGAAATTGCAAATGAGAGAGAACCAGAATAATGTATGAGGAAGGTTTTAAATGCAACACAAATTATTTTCTTTAGTGTTTTAGGGGACAAGGCACCAATGGATTTAAAAGCAGGTGCTTTTAGAGATCAGAAGTAGGCGCTGGCTTTTGCCGTCTATTCCTCTCCAACTATCCTGTAGAACTGATGTCCTGCATGACTTGGCTCATGCTAGGAGTTGCCACACTTAGGTGTTTTACCAACTTGATTTATGTCGTTGCAAACACGATGAGCAGAAAATGAGGTAGTGTTGGGAGAAAAGAGGAGTTCCACAGCTTCTGTGAGACAAGCAGGTGGGTGTTGCTCCCTGTTCTTTTTTTTTGGGTGATGGAGTGGTTTTCCATATTTGCACATCGAATCTTTCTCCAATTAATTGCGCGGTACACAGGATTCTTGCTTGCCTCATGAAATCCGAGAACTTATTCTTTTCTTATTTATTAAAACTACGAGTCTTGTATGTAAAGTCATAATTTCCACTTTTAAGTTGGGGTTAAGTGCAATCGGAAGTTGTATTTGAATCCAACGTTGATTCCTCAAGGACTTAATCCTCTGTCCACCATTAGTTTAGGTAAATGATCAAAATTCTCAACACACTGAATTTATCTCTAGGCCAATCATCATGAAAAATAGTGACCGAGCTCTGTTCCACAGACACGGATAAGGATATGACATGATGCATCATAACCTAGAATTTTTAAAAGTAAAAAAGGGATTATGTGTTGATTGCTTAAAGCTTAGTTCATGTTTGAAGTGGCTATTCACCCTTAATTAGATTCCACCGTTCCTATATATATATGTGTTGATTGCTTAAAACGTAGTTCACCGTGAGCGTTGGTCTCGTTACCATTACAGTGACAATAGTTTGATGTTTAAGTAATACATTGTGAAATTGTTCCTTGTGTGATTACTGTCGTCTTTCCTCTGATGTGTATCCTTTGTTTCTTTGCTCAACAACTTATAAGGCCGTTAATTTCATTTATCTGTGCCTATTCTCAATAATTCTATTCATTTGCGCTTAGGTGTTTTGGGCTGGATTTGACAAATTAGAAAGTCAAGATGGTGTCCCGCGCCAAGTTCTGTTGTTGGCTTATAGGTCTGGTTTCCAGGTTTGGGATGTTGAGGATGCTGATGATGTTCGGCAACTAGTTTCCAGACATGATGGTCCAGTTTCATTTCTGCAAATGCTAAAGAAACCTGTTGCAAGAAAGAGGTCTGAAGATAAATTTTCTGATGTTCGTCCATTGCTGGTTGTTGCTGGAGATGTATCTCTATCTGGGAATAATAACAATTCTGATGGTGGGACCTTTCCTTCCAATGAAAGTGCAGGTTTTACCCAGGAGCTGGGTAATGATAACTCATTGCCTACATTTGTTCACTTTTATTCATTAAAGGTTCATGATTATGTTCATGTTTTGAAGTTCAGAACAGCAGTTTATTCAGTGAGGTGTAGTCCTCGCATTATAGCTATTTCTCAAGCTGCTCAGGTATGCCCACTCTTTAACTTTCTTCCCAGAACTATTTTTTCTTCTTCTTGAAATCATAGTTTTAAGAACAATGCCATTTATGCTGCAGATTCATTGCTTTGATGCTGAAACTTTAGAGAGAGAATACACTATTCTCACATGTCCCATAGTTTGGGGAAGTCCTGGATCTGGGGGTATAGGTTATGGACCACTTGCAGTTGGTCCTAGGTGGTTTGCGTACAGTGGAACTTCAGTTATTGTGTCAAATACTAGTCGCGTAAGCCCACAGCACCTGACCACCACTTCAGGTTTATCTCAATCTTATTCAAATGGAAGTTTGGTGGCACATTATGCAAAAGAATCAAGCAAACAGCTTGCAGCTGGTATTGTGACCCTTGGAGATATTGGGTACAAGAAGCTTTCAAAGTATTGCTCTGAATTTGTAGCTGACAACAATGGCTACGTAAAAAATGGAAGTTCCAGCCTTAAAGCGAATGGTACTATCAACAGTCATGTGCCTGATATAGACAATGTTGGAATGGTATCCATTTTCCTCTTGTATGTTTTAGTGCTTTTTCTTCAAGAGCATATTTATCTGCCTCTTTTGCAATAAATATAACTATACTTTTGATCGTTTACTTGCCTATTATTTGCCTTTGTCAATTTAAGGGAACAAATTTCAAAGGAACCCTTGAAGCTATCTTCGTTACAGTTTGAATGAAAAATTTCCTGTTTATTGGTCATTTAATTCTTTCAAGAAAGTGATTGAAGCATCTTAAGCTCATTTATTGGCAAGGTTCAGTTTATTCAGTTTCTATACTTTATTTTTCTGCACACGTACTTGTTTTAAAACCATTGCATTGGTTTGCATCTAGTTCTAAGATTAACCATTTAAATTTATTTCTTTTCTTATGCTCTTCCTCTAATTTCTAATACTTGATTGGTTTCTCTACTATTTCCAGGTTATTATACGAGATATTGTTCTCAAATCTGTTATTGTGCAGTTCAGGGCACATAGGAGTCCTATTTCTGCATTATGTTTTGATCCCAGTGGGACCTTATTAGTTACAGCATCCATTAATGGTCACAATATAAATGTATTCCGAATTATGCCTTCTCCACAATGTAGTTCATCACACATTGGTGCAATGGGGAATTGCATTCATCTTTACAGGTTGCAACGTGGCATCACAAACGCGGTATATATGCATACATAGAGTCATGATTCTTTTGTTGAACTTCATTCCTTTCTCACTGACCTTTCTTTTTCATTTGTTACATAAATCAGGTCATACAAGATATCAGTTTTAGTGATGACAGCCAATGGATAATGATCAGTTCATCTAGGGGTACTAGTCATTTATTTTCAGTTTCTCCCTCTGGAGGTTTTTTAAACCTCCAGGTCTCTGATGCCAATTTGATAAATGGCAGCAATGCACCTGATCTGACATTGAAGACTGGGCCCCAAAACTCTGTTCCATCTAAGGCTAACAGCCAAAATCTCCTTTACCCCTCTGGCAATCCAATTACATTGTCAGCCGTAAGCAGAATTAGAAATGGGAATGGGTGGAAAGGAGCTGTGTCTGGTGCCGCAGCAGCTGCTACAGGCCGCGTTAGTCCTCTTTCTGGAGCCATTGCTTCCGTCTTTCACAACTGTAAGAGTTCTGGCCTGTACCAAGACTTCAACTCATTAAGGACAAAATACCACTTGCTTGTTTTCTCTCCATCTGGAAGCATTATTCAGTATGTTTTGCGGCAGTTAAGTGGGAAAGATTCTGGCATGGATATAACTGGATTAGGTACAGTTTCTAGTGGGTTGTCACAAGAGTGTGATTCGAGGATAGTGGTGGAGCCACTTCAGAAATGGGATGTTTGTCATAAAAGGAACAGAAGAGATAGAGTTGATTATCTTGACGTGTATGGTGAACATGGGAATGGAGAAAGCTCCAAGGTTACCCAGAAAGGGGTGAAAAGAGGAACTAGTATTTATCCCACTGACAAGGGTTCAGATGCAAAAGTGAAAGATAGCGTTGAAGAAAACCATCACAAGTACATATCTGAGGCTGAATTGCATATGCATTCAGCTCAGGTTCCATTGTGGGCAAAGCCTGAGGTACTTTTATGTTCGTGGATGTGTGATGACTGTGCTTCTATTTTGTTTGATATTACTTTTATATCATTTAATTATACCAAATTGATTTTTTTCATCCTTAGATATACTTTCAAGTGATGACAGTAGGAAACACCATCACAGACAATGACAGTGATATGGGTGGAGAAACTGAGATAGAGAAGGTTCCAACTCGAACAATTGAATCTAGGTCAAAGGAACTGATACCAGTTTTTGACTGTCTTCAGACACCTAGATTGCAACAGTCAAGGTTTTCTTTTTACCCTTAACTGCATAACATCTTGTTGAGCTTCATGCATATCAAGTATGAAATTACAGCATTTTAAAATAACATCCTCATTTTTGATGAATCAGTTAGTCATTTATAGGCATATTCAGGCATAGTAAGTTTACGGCAAACAGATTTTAACTGCACATGGAAATATGTATAGATATACATCAAATTTCACATGGGCTAATTTGGCATCTGCATGCTTCACACATAAAAATTCATATCGATATATCCAGATATACATCAGGTATTGAGTCTGTTGAGATTAAGAGGTTTTAAAGGAAAACACTTCGTCAGGATTCTTGATTTGTTTAAGTATCTTCTACGGTTTATAAAACTCCTTTAAAAAATTCTGTTATCATCAATATCTGATTAGATAGATGTGGTCTAGACATTCTAGATTCAAATCTAGCAGGGTAGAGTCTGTGTAGCAAATATAGTTCATGGTATCATTTATGTTGTTGTGTGTTTCAGAATATTTTTGAGTAAATATGAATGAAGTCTTATGCAAGAAGAATCATTCATTTGAGTCTTGCTTATTATTTCCTCGCAAAATTTTAAGGCAATAGCTAGTTTCAGGGATGAGATTTCTTATATTCACTTGTTGATAAAATAACTTGTCATTAATTATTCTTTTGGAGAAATAACCAGGAGGAGAAAAAAATAAAATAAAAAATCAATCGAAGAAATAGTATAATAATGAAAGATGAAGAAAAATTAATTTGAAAGAAAATCCAAATCTAGAATGTGGATCACAGTGCTCGAACTAACAAGGAGATCAAACTAAGGTCT